TTGTGAGAGTTTGGAAAGTGAAAATTTTGGGAAGGACGCAGGCTGAGGACGGCAAAGATGAGAAGGGTGTGACAGGGAAGTCAGGACTGAAGGGAGGTGAGCGACATGAAGGAAAAGCAAACAAACAAAAAAACAGATTGAGAAATAGAGATAGTAAGGAAACTGGGAATAACAGCAGCTGCTACTGTTGTGGCACTAGAGCAGGGCCGTAGGACCCAGAAATCAACTCAGAGAGAGATAGGGGAGCTGGAAGAGCCCAGGGAATGCTCCACTCCACTGGAATGAAAGCAGTGGGCAAACTGTAGAGAAAGAGGGAATCGTCTTTGGTTGCAAAGCCAAAGGATGGGAGCCTGGGAAGTTTACCCTAGCAGATCCACTGGTTAAATTGCAGCTAGGGGAGCAGGATAAAAGGGTTTATCTTTTGGTGGGTATGAGTGCCTCTTATCACCCATAAATGATTTTGTAACAGTAGTAGGAGCTACTGCATAGTAAGAAAAGGCTTACTTTTGGGGATCAAATAAATGTAGGCTGAGAAAACAAGTAGGAATACATAAATTCTTGTACATGCCAGGCTACTCTGGCAAGATTTATTAGAACAAATGAATGCAGAGATTAAATTAAATAAAACTGGTGCTAAGGATCAAACACTATTAACTGATTGGAAATTGTAAGTTTGCCTTTAACACAAACTGGGAAAAACAAGGTTGTAGCCCCAGAAGTTACAGAAATCTTAAATAAGGTCAGCTTAGGAGTGTGGGTATCACGGATACCTGGCACAGCCAAAACTGCAGCCCTCAATAGAAGTTAAGTTAAAAGCAAAAGTTAGCCCAGTTCAGGGTAAAGCAGTGCCCTTTGAGGATATGTGAAGGATAAAAGATTTGTTTTATTCTTTTTTTTATTTTTTTGAGTCTGAATTACTAATTGAATATGAATCCAAATACAATCCAACTATAGCAATACTGTAGTTTGTACAAGATCTGAGGGCAGGTAAATAGCAGTGGTGACAACATCCACTTTATTAACCGAGTTAAGGAATGAGTAGGTGAAGTTTGCCTTCTGGATTTGAAAGATGCCTTTTCTGCCTGGTTTGGCCAAAGGTTATTTGCCTTTGAACAGGAAAACTCCAATATGGGGAGAAAAGACTCAGTTAACCTGGACAGTCTTACCCAGGGTTGTGAGAACAGCTCAATGATTTTTGAGAGCTGCTCAACTCGTGAACCTGAGATTGGGTTCCTCCATCCCAGGGTAGAACTTTACTGCAGTACGTAGATGCCACAGAAGCAAAAGAGGACTGTGTGCAATGGACTGTGAGTTTGCTGAATGTCTTGGTTTAAATGATTATCAAGTTTCTCAACAGAAGCACAAATAACTCCATAGCAAGTGACGTATTTGGGATATGAGATTACAGCTGGACTTCAAACCTTAAGGACTGTCAGGAAAGAAGCCATCTGCCAAACCCCTGAGCCGCAACCTGCCAAGGAACTCCGTACGCTCCCAGGAATGACAGGATGGGGCTGACTGTGGATACACAGCTACGGACTGTTGGTAAAGCCAAAATATTATATGAAATGGGAAGCAAGGAGGGCATCCCCCAGCTGAAAGAAGAACTTGTGAAGGCCCCCTGCTTTGGGGCTGCAGACATGGCTAATCCCTTCTGGCTGTTCTCCCATACAAAACAAGGAATAGCTCTGGGAGTCCTTGCCCAGAGCCGTGGACTCTATCAAAGGGCAGTGGCACACTTCTCCAGACAGCTTGATGAAGTGAGTAAGGAATGGCCGGGGTGCTTGAGGGCGGTGGCTGCGCTGGTACTCAACATTCAAGAAGCCAGTGAAGTTCTGCTAGGCCAACGAATAATATCTCATACAGTGTCTGCTGTATTGTAGGTAAAAAGAGGGCACTGGCTCTCACTCCAAAGGTTCCTGAAATACCCAGCCATCCTGGTAAGGCAGGATGATGTAGAAATAATTGTAACTAATATTGTCAACCCAGTATCTTTCCTTAGCAGAACTCCTGGAGAACCAGCATTTCATGACTGCTTTGAAACAACTGAAGCTGTATATTCCAGCCAGTCGGACCTGAAGGACAAACCCTTAGAAGATGCAGAAGACAGCTGATGTACTGACAGCAGTTTTGTGGGCCAAGGAAACCGTAAGGAAATGCAGTAGCTGCAGCTGACAAGATAATCGAAGCACAACCATTACCTGAGGGGACTTTCCCTCAGAAGGCTGAAATAACTGCCTGGACGAGAGCCTTACTTATATTACATATTCTAATTACATATTTGGGGTGCTACATGCTCACAGTACCATCTGGAAAGAGCAAGGATTGCACACCCAAGGAAAACAGCATGATATAAATCTACTGAAGAGCGTGGCTATTATACATTGTAAAGGACATCAGAAGGGTAACGCTGTACAGGAAACTGGAACTAAGATGGTGGGTCAGGTGGCAGAACAGGCAGTTGAAGAGGGCTTTAATTCCAGACGGTAAACTTAAAGTCTCTGAAGCTGAGTCAGAACCTGTAAAATACTCTAGAAAGGATGGGAATCTAATTAATGATTTAGAAGAGAGGGCAACGATGGCAAACTGATTTCTCGGAACTCTATAGGCTATAGAGAATATCTCTGCAACTCTAGAAATAGTAGAAAATGCCATAACAAACACATTACGAGCAATCCAAGAAGAGGTATTCTCTTTGTTCAAAGTGGTACTCCAAAACAGGATAGCATTAGATCTATTAACAGTTAAAGAAGGAGGAGTATGCACAATAATAAATCAGAGTTGCCGTGCTTATGTAAATAAGGATCTGAGAATTGGAACAGACTTAAGGAAAATCTGGGAGCAAATAAAAGTCCTGCATAGGACAAGTATCGATAACAGGACTGGTAAACAGATCTATGGGGCTCACTTACTAGCTGGTTACCAAATCTAGGATGGTTAAGGTGGCTTTTCTTGACGTGCATCGTACTGGTACTATTGGTGATCCTTACCTGTGAGTAATGAGGTGTTCTTTGTGCCTGTGCCAGAATACTAGAAGGGAGTATGAGATATGGAAGAGACATGAGTTCAAGGAAAAGGTGGAAAGTGGGGCTTATTTCACATGCTAAGAAAGAGTAATCTAGCAGGTGGAAATCCTGCTAGATTAAAGAAAAGGGGAACTGAAATGTGAGAAGGGCCCCATAAGTGAAAGGTTTCACAGTGACTGAGAATAAGGGGGGTGAATGGGGATGGTTAGAGATAGTTTATAGAAGCAAGAATGTTAGACCTTGTTAGAAAATAAGGGATGGCAGACACTGGGTCGTAGATAGTGAGGGAGATGAAGGCCATGTAGATAAGGGTTTGAGAACAGCCCGAGGACATTTGGCAGGGATGTGATTAGATATCCATGGGGCAAGAAGAAACTGTTTTGGGGGGATGCCTCCCCGAAAGGTCAGAAGTTTACAGGGAGAAAGGTCAGAAGCCTTTGCGAGGAAGACGACAATCATCATCCCATGACCCACTACGCACGTGCAAGAGGGGAGGGTCTGCATGCTATTGAACTCTTGGGGGTGTAATGAGTATGTATCCGAATTCTGGGAAGGTTATTGATTATGTATTAGTTTGGTCTGGGTCTGTAGCACAATTTTTCTAGATGGTGTGCAGGTTAGGAGGAATAATCCCCCTTGCACCTGGTTTCTGTGCAGCACTGATTAAAACATATCTGCTTTATAACTACTGTGTGGTTACAGAGTTTGATTCCTCATGTCAGTGTGGTATAGTGCAGTCTGTGGAAAAGCAAAGGTGGAGCAGGGCTTGAAGATACAGCAACTTGTCCAGAGCACACTGCCATGGGCATACAATTCATTCTGTTTTCTTCTGCAGCACTTGAGTTCAGCTTTGTGCATACTGAAAGCTAAAAGATCCAGGTGTTTAAAATCAGTTCAGTTAAGAAACTGGGGAATTCTTGCAGCAGCACTTTGTCGGGGTGACAGAGTGAGGAAGAGAGAAAGCACCAAAGCTGAGCAAGTGTTGCTCTATTCTCAGCATGGTTTTAGCCACCAATCCACAGTATGCAGGCTGATGTAAACTGCGTTGCCTCCATCCAAGCCCCACACCCTGTGCAGGGGTTCATTTATTCAAAACCAGTTGGAGTGACTTACTTGCCTTTGCCTGGGCTGGGCACTGAGTCAGGCAGCTTGAGTCTGTTCTGAACTACTGGAAAAGAAAGTGAGGAAGCAGTATGTGTGTCCATTAAGTGCAGCCTTTCTCTGTAGAAAACCTCCATCCTCTAACTCAAGTGCTCCATGCTAATGTCATCTGTCCTCAAATTTCATGGTTAAACTGGGTGGTGTTTTTAGAGCTTTTTAAATTTTTTTTTCCAGATGACTCCCTGTGTTGCAGTGACATTAACCCCACCTAGAGTGGAAGTAATTGGGTTCTTCTGTTTGACTGGTAGCTTTGGCTCTTAGTCCTGATGTATTGTCCTGTCTGGTTCTGCTATCTGATGGGGGGGTGCAAGAATGGTAATTGGATTTGTGAAATGAGATCCTGAAGTCTTTTCTTGAGGCATGCATAAGACCAGACACATCCAAAGGATTTATATTGGTTTAAACAATGTTAGAAATGTATCGTAATGACTTCTCCTGTCTGTAAAAGAGCAAGTTTCTGAATTTCTGAGTTTTTCATTGGGTAAATACTAGGAGGAGACTCCTGTGCCAGCACATGGGAAAAATGATTGCAGATTGTGCACTGAGCACATCTTTAAACAGTAGCTTATGATTGTTAGAGAAGTGACCGAGTATACTGAGCTGTTTTTATTCCTGATGAAAGAAATAGGAGCATTCCAAGTCCTTAATTGCTTGTCATTGTTGCAGAGCCAAACAAAAAAGTATGTTAAAGTCTGACCTCTGTATTGACAGTGGTTTTTGAGATGATCTCAGTGATTGCAGTTTCTTGTCAGCTGCTTCTCTGTGACATAAGCAATGACAGAATGTAATGTAATGTGTTTTCTCTGGTTTTAGAATGGTAGAGGTGTTTCCATTAAGAAGCCCAATGTGAAGGTAAGTTTCTCCACTTACTGGTAGATTATCTCTGCTTTGCTGTTGCAACCCTACCCAAGGTTGTGCTTACCTTTCACTTCTCCATGTGAGGAGATTAGATTTATTTCCGTAATGTAGAAAGCAATTTTTGTCAGCCCCAAAATCAGATATCTTCCCCATATGCACAATTAAATCTTTCTAATACTGATAAGTCTCATCCAGTTGGACCTTTTCCACGTGACTGCTAGAAAACCTTAGAAGGAGGCTGATCTTATGCTGCTTAGTGAAGCACATTTAATAATTTGTGTTATCATTTTAAGATAATTACCGAAAAGTGTCTGATGAAAAAGGGTGCTTTGTTTCAGACTTTTACCATTTAACTACTGCATGTGGTTATTTTCCAGTTTTACCCATTTGGTTTCTTGAACTTTTTTGACTGTCCTGATGAGTGCAGTGTGTATTTCTGTAAATGTATGTATCAGGACATGTAAATACTTTTCTCCTTTGTTGTCTTCTGGTATAAATACAGCTTGTATTTAAAAAGGAAAAAACATTGGATCCCTCATGTTTCAGACTACTTTTTTTCCTGTTGTTACTGGAATTGTTTCCTCTCCTTGGAACAGCCTGTGCTTGTTTTATGTATGCTGCTACCTCTTCTGCTTGAGTACATGCTCAGTTTTGGTCAGAGAGCCCTTCAAACCTCTCTTGGTTTCTTAGGTAACAGCACAGGATCACAGAAATACAAAGCATGGATTTGAAGGGAATCAGGCAAGAAACTGAAGTAGCTTTTTTTTTTTTTTTTTTTTTTTTCCCCAGATTTTGGTAGGGCTGAAAGTATTTTTTCCTCCTGAAGCTGTTACTTGTTTAACCTCTTTTTAATTCCTCAGTGTCTGTCTCGCCTGTCAAAAGGGAGGAATTTTCCTTAACATTTTGAATACAATTTTCTTAAAATTCCTTTCAAAACTCTCAAAATGCTGAAAAAAATGTCTTCCTGGATTATTACACAGTGTTGAAGTTCTAAAAATTTAAAGCTCACATTTGATTACGGAAATAATTGTGAGTGGCTGACTGCTGTTCTTCACCTGCAGATTAGCAGTGCTGATATTGTGTTCCCCACACGTCCTTACAAACCAGCTGAGCCTGCTCTGAGCATTTGGGACTTTTTTTTTTTTTTTAACAGGGGTTATGGAGTACAAGAATGATTTTGGTTTAAATGACCTATTTTCTCATGAGATGAAACATAGAGAACTTGATAGCACAGGCAGAGTTGGAGTCCCTCTGTCATGTGAGCAGCAGAAGGCTGCTGGAGCTCTTCTGGGTGGGATTGGGCAGTTTCTTGCTAGAAGGAGGATAGCCCTGTTTTATGCAGGTAAACAGAATACTTGTTTGTTCAGTGAAAGACTGGGATAGGGGCTAGACACAAATTGAATGGTGGATGTTTTGTTTTGTTGCTTTTTTTTTTTTTAAACCTAAGTCCTTATCACTGAAGGTAATGTGGCATGCTGAAGAGGAGGCCTGGAGTGGTGCTGATGTCATGCTGTGAGCTGCACAACAGGCACTGGAGCTGGCTGGTTTACGTTTCTGCAGTCAGCGTCCTCATTCCTTTCTGCTAACTGCAAGCTACCCATTTCTCAGAGCTCTTTCTACTTGTCACACTTCATGCCAGTTTGCTTATCACCAGTTAGCATGCTGTTGGGCTCAGATGCTCTTTGCAGCATGAAGAAAGTTTGCTAAATGTAGATCTCTTATTTTGATCATGTCCATTCAGAGGCAACAGCATGTAAGCTTAGCATGAGACTTCTCATTTGGTCATAGTTGGTTTATCCATTGTTTTTGTACCAGAAGACATTTCACACAGAACAGTGTTTCTGAACACTTTGGGAGCTTTGTGGGATGAACATTGCTTGTCCAGTTTGAATGCTGGCATGAGTCTGTAGCAGTGTTTTTGTCATAGTGATGAGGGAGAGGGTGTTAATGTGGTATATGGGCAATTATATACACATTTAAATGAATTGTATAAATATATTAACACTGAAAACTGCAAGTGTTGCCTTTCTAACTTACAGGCTTTTCTCTTGCAGGGGATTTTTCCTGCAACCTATATTCACTTGAAAAAGGCAATTTTTAATAACAGAAGGTGAGTGGTTTTCCTTCTTTTAAGAAACTGCAGTCTATAAGGGAATCTAAGAAGTAGTTATTAAAATATGTAGTGCTTTTTGTTCATTGTAGTTTGTGATAATATATTAAGTTCTGAAATTGAAACATTGTTCTGCAAAGCTCTCTTATAAATTCCTTGATTTTCCTGTTTTTTGTTTTTTGTTTTTTTTTCACACAGCAGGAAACACTTCTGTTATTTATTCCTTTCCACTTTCCATAAAATCAGGACTTCAAAGGTGTTGCCTGATAGGCACATATTTTAAAGAATTCTATTTGTATTTTTAATTTCTTGTTGCTCCTCAGTGGCAGAATTTGATATTCCATTCTGTTTGTTCGAGAGGCACTGGCACGTAGGCAGCAGGTGTCATTTCTGAACAGATTTTCATCCATTTATAGCTGACAAAGTAACTACGTTACTTGGGAACTTTTAACAAACGTCTAACCCCCCTATCTCAGCCCAAAGAATGACTAAGGTATGCTCTGCTGAATTATCTTTTACCTTCACTGCAGCAGAAGGGCTGACTAGGCCTAGGGTTAGTTCAGTTAATGTGAATAGCAGTGCTGATGGTGACGTGATGGCAGAGTTCTCAGTGCAGTTTCCTGTGAGGTTGGCTGATACTCCTGCATGCTCACAACTGCTCTTATCTACCTTTTCTACATTAGGACAGTTGTGGGGAGATTTGGAAGAGCACCATTTCAGATGGTCGCCCAAGGTGGAAGGTTAAGTTGGGAAGATAAAACTAAAAGATGGCATTTAGTGAAGTGCCTGCAGAAGAAGGTGTGACTTCCAATAGTCTTGCATCTTATGGTTATTCTCAAATGAGCTGAGTAAACTTTTTAAGGGCAGCAGTAGAACTGATGCTTCATAACTTTGGAGTGTAGTAAAACAGCTTATGTAGAGTGACTGCTCCTGATGTGCACTCTCCTTGTGGGAAAGAATAGTTTCCTCCAATTTATCGTTACTAGTGCTTGAAGTTAATTCACTGCTTGTGAACGGCAATCAGTTCAGAATGTTTGCATTCTCAGTAGGACAATTACATTAATTTTTTAAAAGTAAGTATCTTAAGATTGGTATACCAATTGATATAGCAGAATGTAGTCAGAACGTAATGCAATTCTGACTCAGAGATTATCATCCTTTGTCATGCGTTGGTAAAAATAAATAAATACAATTCTGCCCCTGTATTTAAGAATATATTCCAAGTACTGGTATGAACACTTGTTAAAATAATAAAGCATACTGTATAATATTCTTAAGTATCGTGCTTCTGATCACAAGCATATTCTGTGGAATATCTTATCTTATCCTTTAGCACCATGTCCACGCATCCCTTAAATACCTCCAGGCATGAGAAATGCACTGTTGCTCTAGGCAGCCTATTCCAGTGCTCGACCACCTTCCCTGTGAAGAAAATATTCCTAATATCCAATCTAAACCTACCCTGGCACAATGTGGACTGTTAACTTCTTTCTCCTTACCACCAATTGTCTGTAATATCTTAGTGTAATAAGAGGAGAGAGTGTTCTGCTCGTCCTCTAATTGGTAAAGAAGACATTGGCTGTGAAGGGATGAGTTCTGTTATTTTGGCTAAAGGATGTCCTATTTGGGTTTAACTGAAATTCAGTAGTAAAGAAGTCTTTTGATTAGGGAAGGTCCATAAATGGTAGATCACCTGGGTGTTTGGTGGTACTGGATGCTCACTAGAGGGATAAAAGGGTCAGACTGGATTAGATGGAACACAAATGGAAGGACCCACTTACAGACAAAGTAATTTAACATGCTCTAATCACGAGAAGTGTTTTCACTGATCTCGGTTAGAATGATTAAATATTGAACACATAACTAGAAAATGCTTCACATAAGCAAATTCTTGGGAAAGTAATGGAGGAACAGCTGAAAGAATACTGGAGTTGCTTGAGTGTCATGACCAAGTTGTTACATTTTTCTTTAAGTTGAAAGCTCAAAAAATGTCAGTGTTAGTGTTCTACAAATGACTACAAATGACTGTGCTGACAGTTACTTGTTTATACCTTTTCCAGAGTACCTCTCCTAATTTTTGTCCTCTTCTTGTTTTGGCAATATGAAACAGTTGTTCCACGTGAAGATTCTGTTGTGACTGAGGTCACAACAACACTAAAGGAATGGACTGTGCTCTGGAAACAGCTGTATGTGGTAAGAACATTGTGGTCTTCTCTTTTCTGTTCTTCCACAACATTTTTCAAATACCTTGAACGAGAGATATGTTGCATGCTTCCCAGTCCATTAGAAGCAAACATGCAAAACAAATTTTTAGATTTTCTTTTTGTCTGGTGGGGGAAGTGGCTAACTGTAAAAGCACTGGTAATGTGCGATTCACATGGACTACTTTGGAAACTTCAGCAGTTTTAAAATTTTGCCTTCAAATCTGAAATCTTCCTTGTTTAAATTGTGTTCTTAAGTAGATAAGAAATATGCTTAGTAACACCAAAATGGAAGATCTCTGCAAGTCCCCTCAAAGAATTAGTACAGTCTGTATTTGTTTTGGTGTCCGGGGTTTAATAGAGGAAGAACTCAAACAGAAGCCTTTCCATGTTATTGCTCCTTCCAGTATTAAAAATAGACACTCGCTTTCACTCATCTATTTCATATAATTTTCAGTTGCTGATAGACAATGTCACCTAGCTCCACTTTCATTATAATCTTACTATATTTTTTTTAATGGCCAAATCCTATGGAACAGCAAATAAGAAACCTGCATATTTGAAAACATTTTTTTCCTTTTTATTTATTGACAGGTTTTTTTTTTTTTCTTACTAATTCTAAGCTGTAACTATTGAATTAGGACCAAGAACTGTAGGTAGTTGAAATATGAATTTCCTTTCTTTCCTTAGTTTAGAGAAATACCTCTGTGTAGAACCTTATTTACACCTGAAGTGTTAGTAGTTAGATATTTGGGAAATAAAGGCAGAAAAGATGAGTCTGGTGTATCTCTAGCACAATGAGCCACATTCTTTTCTCCCTTCAAAAAGCAATCAAGTCTATTATAAAATCAGCCTCCTTTGTGTTGCTTCCACTTCTTCTGTGATGACACATGCAGTATACAATCTTCTTAGTACCACTGTTATATCCAACACTCCTTGTTTTTTCCATTCCTAATACTTACCTCCCTATTGTTGTATGTTTCTATAAGGTAGATTTTTCTCTCTCCTCAGTGTCTTATGAAGAAGGCAACAGGAGTATGGCAGTAGTATTGGAACTGCGAAAGGAGAATTATTTTACTTAGAAATGAGTTAAACTTCCATTCTACTGATCTATTTTGTTTTGACTGTTATAGCTACATTTTGAGGAGAGGGAGTAAGAAAGGCCTAGCTGTAGACTTCAATGTTTTTATTTGTGGGACTGCTTTCTATTGTAGTGCATTACACACAATGTTATTGTATTCTTAAATAACTGGGGAAAAGATTTACTGGCTTCATGTAATTTGGGAAGCAGGTATCAGCTTCAAAAAAGAAGTTGGCAGAGCTTCAAAGTGGGGGAAAAAACATTTTGCTTTTTCGCTCTGAAATCATACAAAAAATAATACAGAAATTACCACAAAATCACTTAGGTCAGAAGGGGCCTATTGAGGCCATCCTGCTGGCTGCTAGCAGAGGCAGAGCAGGTTGCCCAGAATGATGTCCAGTCAGATTTTGATGCTCTTTGTGACAGAGACTCTAACGTTTCTCCAGGCAAAGCTGCCGGTGTTTACTGCCTTCACAGTAAAAAGGAAAGCTTTCTTTACTTTCTTTGTTCAACGCTTCTGATGTGGAAGTGTAGCTTTCCTGATGTGAAAGAGCAGTCTTTGCTGTTGTTAGGGGGTAAGAGAAATGTGTCCATTGGCAGTCTACCCTTCTGAGGCCTGAGGAATTGTAGTGGGTGCACACGTGGGTGTGACAGTCCTAGTGTGCTGTTTGGTTAGAAATGACAGAAGGGTCACATCGTAAAATGTGTTACGGGACTAAAGTGAAATACTTGCTTAGTATTGGGTCTGCACCAGCAGAAATTTCTGTTAATCCCGCATTGAAATATGAATCATGTGACAAATCTAATTAATGTTATTCATCATGCTGATGTGCCTTGTCAGCTTAGTTGGAAAGTTCTCAACTGTAGTGAAAGTTAAAATGCTGGCTGTTAGCGCAGATGTTTTCAGTAGGTCAGTACCTATGAATGGCAACAGGCACTCTGCAGTGCAGTAGTGCTACATAATAGACAATCACCAAACAAAACATAGAGCATCTCTTGGCAGCTCTGAATAGGCTGAGCTGTTCATCCTGTGTTATGGCAGACTTCTTGTTTGGATTATGGTTTGGAAGATGAGCTTGTTTCAATTAAAAATTCCAAGAACCTTCTCTGGTACAACAATTGGGGTGTGTTGTAAGGTTTCTGCCTGCCTCTCAGTTAGACAACAGACTCAGGAATTGCAGCATCTGGGGAACCTGGAGCAACTAAAACTGCCTGAAAAGGGGTGCTCTGCTGATCCAAGGCAAAGAGCTTAGCTGAAAGAAGCTAGGGGGAGAGGAGAAAGCTAAGAAAGGGGAGGATAAAGCAAAGCTCAGGTTGGAGAAACCACTGTAGAAAATCAAGTCATATAAAGCCTTCCTCACTTCTCTCTGACCGCAGAGCCCATGCTCTTACCAGGAAGAAACTCTGGGGAAGCTCGAATAACTATCAGTTAGGAGCTCTGCAGTACTTCTGATTTGTAGACTATAAAATATATATATTGGAAAGATGGGCCTGAGTACCACGCAGTTTTGCAGTAGTCTTACAGTTTCTGCTGACAATGTGAAAACTAAATAATCCTGTTTTTAGAACTAGAAGCTGAGACTGTAGAGAAAAAGGCATTTAAGTGCAGTGAGTTCTTAAGGGAAGGTTGTGCTTAAGAAAATCTGAATTAAGATAATGTATGGTGGTGTTCTCTGTGCTTTGTAGTGTCGTAGTCCAACTACTCAAAACATCTCTCTCTCTAAGTGCTAAGAAAGCAATATGATTTCTGAAAATACAGGAGGTTTCTCTCCATCTGGAAAGGTGTAGAGATACAAATAATACTGGTATGAAAGCCAGGAGAAAATTTATTCAAGGTTTTTAGTAGTTTGTGTTGAATGTTTTTTGTAACAGTGCTGGTTATCTGGTTAAAAAACTGTATACCCATCTAAAAGTACTTGAAGTAATCTGTAACAGATAATAGTAAATATTTAATATTTCTAGAAGAGTAAATGCTTTTTTGGTTTTGAGATAATAAAGAACATTTCTTATTTCCATTTGAATAAGTAGTCTGTGTGCAGATGTGGTATCCTGGTACTGGAAAATAAAGAAGTGTTCCTTCTGATCTGTCTACAGGCTTTGCAGATGAGCATAGGATCAGTCGGTGTTAGTAACTACTTTGTGTCCTTAAGGTCACCATGCTGTATAACCTACTGACTTGGGATTTTCCTATTTCCAATGCTGTGAAATTTTTGGGAAGGAGTTAACAGGAACTGAATGTTTTAACTGCATGCTGTGTAACCTGTGTTTACTGTGTTGCTTATAACATGGGTGGAGTTTCTGATGACCGTGGCAGCCAAAATGCACGTGAGCATACAGGTGTATGTTTATTGTCAATAAGTCTGTGACACTGTTTTTCTCTCGTGTTATTCTTTAGCGTGGCACATATACTCTGTGTTCTTCTTTAAGATTGATTTGGATAATGTAACATTTTCCTTTCTCTGGGAAGCCTAAGAAATTTAAAGGAAGATTCTGCTTGTACCTTTTTAGTATCACAAAGGCATATAAGTTACCAGAAATTCCCTTCTCTGATATTGCACTTCTTATGTACTAGGAGGGAAAGTAAAAATAGCGTTCTTATTTGCACTGCTGTGAAAAGCTAAGCTTATTCTTGTGAGTACTCCAAAGAGGCAAGACAGGGCAGAAAAAGGAAACAAAACAAAGTCTTCAGGGGAGACTTCTGGAGGCACTGAGCCGGATAGAGATGCACAATTGCATTTGTAGTGGTGACATGCACGTGTGTAGCTGTCAGGCGGTTGCCCAGACCAGTGTATGACTTCCATAGAGAGAAAAATAATATCAAGAAGGTGGATAACTTTCTCTTACCCCGTTGGTAAGATTTGTTATTCTATACTACTTCTAAATAAAGGATCTGCGAGTTCTTCGTCAGCTTTAGTTAATTAGGTCAAACAAGACTCTTGAGAGTTCTGAAGTCAGCTTAAGATATCCCTGCAACTCACAGGTGGAGCACAGCAGCTATTCTAGCAGTAAAAAAAAATAATTCCACAAAGTTACAAGATGTGATGTGGGGATGATTTCTGTTGAAATAGCAGATTACAGAAGAGAGACCAAATGTAACAGCCCAATTTAGAGTTTGGTCAGATCAATAAGTGTGTATGGGAAGTGCTGAGTCACAGCCTGAACCTCTGATTGATCACCTGAGGTGAGCCATGAGTCAGCCAGAGGAGCACGGCTGAAGGCAATTCACCTGTGCTGCCGGAAGGGCTGGAGCCTGGCTGCACCCCTCCTAGACCTATTGAAGAGCTGGCTACCAGTGGGGAAGGGTCTTGTCTGGAGATTGCTTCTTCTGGTGCTTTCTATAGGTGAGCCTAACATACGGGTAAGCCTTCTATTTATTCTCCTTAGTATCTTAGTCTACTTTGCCTAACTCTTTTGTTCTTTTGTGATTATAACATCTTAATATCCACTGATTGTACATCTTGATATCCAGTGATTATACAAAATGCAATTTGCTACGTCTCTGCAGAAAAGAGAGCAGGGGAAAGAATGTGGAATAAGATTTAATCCACTGGGAATAGGTGGAATCCTTTGCCAGCTGAGTTTGAAAGACAATTCTTGTTGATTGCTTCTAAACCTTCTGAAGCTCCTATCTAATGTAAAAGTGGACAAAAGGACGTGGTGCAGTTGGGGCTGGTCTGGGTGTTGTAAGGCTTCGCTGACTACTGCAGAGGGGCATTGGTTCAAAACTTACATTGTAGAACAGAAGTCCTTTTTTTGTACACTGTCCTTTACAAAGTACTTTTTTTGTTCTATCACTGGTGTAGTTTTTAATCTAGTATTGATATATTTTGAGACTTTTTAATTAGTATGGTGGCTTTTACTCAAAACTGATGAAACCATAGAAGTGATATTTAAAACAAACAAAACAACAA